GATGATCGATCATCTGAATGATGAGAAAATACAGTGGTACCTCGGGTTACGAATGCCTCTGTTAACGAGCTTTTCGGGTTACGACCAGCTCCGGCCGCAAAAATTTACCTCGGTTTGAGAACTCCGCCTCAGGTTACAAACCGGATCCGCGGCCATTTTCCCTGCGGCCACGCAGTCGCGGCTTCCTGTGGGCGAGATCACAGTAGCAAGGAGACGTTCGGTGAGGCTTGTGGTGTGTTTTGTGGCGTTTTGGAAGGTTCAGAGGGCGGAACGGATTAACCATATTTACACTGAACCTTATGGGGAAATTTGCTTCGGGTTGCGACCAATTCGGGTTGCAACCAGAGTCACAGAACGGATTAAGTTCGTAACCCGAGGTACCACTGTATATTAATCCATTCGTTACAGCAGCAGCTGTGCCAGAATAGTAAGCTGATTCCTAATGCCCTCATAAAGAAATAAATAATAATTGCCACTTTCTAACAAAAAAAGAAGTGAAAGAAAACATGTGCACAGAAGATGTAGTTGCTTCAGGCTTACAATTATTCTTCCACATGAAAAAAGGATATGCATGCACTGAAATAAAACACTGAGGAAGTTATGTAGAGAAACAATGAAAACGTCTACCCACTGACGGGAAAAATACATAGCAAAGATAGGGTTTGCATCTGGATTTGGGATAAAAGGCAGAACAAACCAGTCCTTCCATTCAGTCTGATTTTGAAGTTCAGAAGCTTGTTTGAGAAAGAACTCCTGTATCTTGTCATTTCTGTTTGTCTAAAATTTACAAAATACAAAGAGGTTCAGATATCACTTTTTTTTCCCCACAGCAGCAGCTGCTCAGTTTTCAGCAGCTGAAAATACAGATTTCACAGCTCACTAACAGAATAATAAGAGTAACTTTCCCACTAAGCCACACAGCCACTTTTGAAGAATTGCATGTACCATGTTTTTACAGAGAACCTATTTTTTAAACTATCCTTATTTGGAAGCAAGCATACCAAGTTGACACAGACCTGCACAGCATGAATGAGATAATACCGGTATAAACTGATTTTCAGCTTGTTCACTGTAGGTCGATACATATCCTCCAGTCGACTGAAAAGGCGTCTGTCGAGATAACTCCAGTACTCTCGAAGGGCAGCTAGATCATAGCTGTGAACAAACTGCAGAAGCTGGTCCACTATCTTGTCCACCTAATGAGAAAACCCCCAAAGTAACAATTCTGGTGTGTGTAACCAATACTTCAGTCGCCAAGAATAACCACAGCAATGATTAGAGGGTACAATTATCTGTCATGGGATAAAGGAGAGAAGGAAAAAATCAAAGTTATGTATGCTTGACTAAGATTTTCCATGCAGATGTTTGTTTCCTTTATAGAAACAAGACTCAAATATATATAATTAAAGTACATTTGACAGGGTTTAATAGGTCAGGGCAGCAGCCCATATTAAAGGGGCAGCATACTAGTACATACGTGGCTGTCTCTATTACCCAACTTCATATGGACAAATTTGTTCTGATCCAGATATATTTCTCTGTTTCCTCTCCAAAAACATTGAGGGTCAGGTAGTTAGCCTGGCTAAGGAGAAATGTATCTTATGAGACACTTGTGCAACATTAAATAAATGGTTAACAGGGATTAGCATCCTTCTGTTAACTCCTTTCCATATACATTTTTTGAGTTATATTTAAGACTCTTTGATGGTCCATATTGTTTCCTCTCCAAAAACATTGAGGGTCAGGTAGTTAGCCTGGCTAAGGAGAAATGTATCTTATGAGACACTTGTGCAACATTAAATAAATGGTTAACAGGGATTAGCATCCTTCTGTTAACTCCTTTCCATATACATTTTTTGAGTTATATTTAAGACTCTTTGATGGTCCATATCCAACATAGCTTTAGCCTACTCAAAAGCCAAGGCAATTAAAAATTGTCCTGACAACCTACAACATCAAAGATATTTCCAATTTTTTTGTTCCAGGATGAAATATAACCATACAGGAGTATCAAGAATGCAGCTGAAAAGATATGTCTCAAATTCCAAATGAGGCAATCCATTATTTGAGATAACAAGATGCACTGGAAACACATCCAGGGACCCAGCATGCAGCTCTTAAAATGTTTGACTGAATAGCTCCCAGCAACCTGAAATCTTTATAGTGACAGAGCTGGGGGTCACACAACATTTGGCTGATTGTTTTAGATTTGAAAAAATTAACAGCAAGTGGCATGTAACTGAATATTAAAAACAGGTAAGGAAGCTTAGAATAGCCCTGGGACATCTTTGGTAACTATCTGGAACAATGCTCATTTGCTCCCTTCAAACACTGAAAAGTACCTCTAAATTATAACATTCTGATTTATTCTCCATCTGTATTTAACTCTCTGAGAAGACCATAACTTTTGTTTGATATAATTTGTAGCCAATTTTTCTTCTTTACAGTGCTCTTTCTCAGGTCAATTTCAGCTATAAAGGAAAGGGTCACGTCACTGGCCTATGAGTAGTGTAATAATATATAGCATCATTTGTTATCTGCTAAAACCAGTGCAAACAGGAAAGAACACCTCATTTTAAAAAGGGACTTGGAATAGAACACAGAAAGAAGAAGGGAATATAGAAACATTAACTATAACGATGTGCCACTTTTCTCCAGACAAGAGTTCCATCTGGCCTTTGAGTCTTGTGCCAAGAGGGCTGCACTCCAAAAATTAGTTGGTAGGATCAGGAGAAAAATATATTTTATTTCGTTTACTTTTGCCATTTTCGATTACTTTCCAATCGTGTGTTTCATAATTTTCCACTTCTGTCAATTAAAAAAATGACAATTTGGTAACAAGCATTCCATAAATTGGTGAAGAGCTGGCCGAGACAGTAAGATTGGAGCCCAGGAACTGAAGAGATGAATAGGTACAGTTATGGGTTGGGTGCCTGGTTTTTCTTAATTTTATTTCATTCTTTCATTCTTTTCTTTTTGCATTGGTTTTATTGTTTGTGTTTTTAATCACTGTTAGCCAACAGTGTTGTGTGCCACAAGATGGATGGCTATATAGATCTTTTAAATAAATAAGTAAAAATAATTTTAAAAGATCTATCATGACTGCACCCTGGCTTTTAAAGCATTTATTTCAGGAATTACACGCATCCCTGAGGCTCCTGATTATGCATCTCTGTCCAATGAAACAATCAATTTAATAGCTGTTAAACTTTTTATGAGATAGATCTGGGCTGAGTCTTTTTCGACTGATAAGTATTTCCAGTGACAATTATTTTATTTCAGTTGATAATCTATTGGGCAGACTCAATAATAGAAAGACATGCTATATATAAACGTCAACGTCTCAATCTAACTGGGTGCAGGAGGGATAATCCGCGATGCCTACGGACTACCGCGGTTACTCAGTTTTGAAAGAGATGCACTCTACACATGCTCTTCGTCTCCCGTCCTGGTTCTGAAGAAGAGCTGCAAGGGACTGGATGCCTTCTAACGAAGGGGAAGCTCATCCAAAAATCTTTTCAACCAACCCTTGCTCAAAGGTAGGCCCACCCGGCCAGGAACCGCTGTTCTGGCAAGACGCTCAGAATCCCGGGGCAGACTATTTTCACAGCAAAGCCCTCTCTGTTCCCGGTTCTTGCGGAGGCGAATCAGCGTGCAAAGGAAGAGCGGGGAAGGGGCGTTATGGAGTAAATGCCCTCCCCATCATCTAAGCCTCCTCAAACCAGCCCAGGCCTTTCCTCCCTGCAGTCCTCACCCGGAAGCCTTTCTCCTTGTCTGCCTTGATCTCCGCGTCCAGTTGTTTCAGCGTGCCGGTGAAGCCACGGAACAGCAAGTATTCCCGCACCAGCTCGTCGACGCGCTCCGCCGCAGCCGCCATCGCGCCGCCGGTTCACGGGGGAGACGGAGAGACGCCCGCAGCTCCGCGCACCGCCCCACGCTCGCCCGCTCCTCCTCCTCGCTCCGCCCCTGTGGGTTTTTCCCTTCGCCGCCCATCTTTTTGTTGCAAACCAATGTTGGCTTTTTTTTACAACTTGTGATTTGCTTTGTGTAGAAAACTGAGGCTGAGTCTTAAAGCAGATTATACTCAATGATATGCTGAAAAGACGTTCGTTCATTTGGCTGAGAACTGGCAGCTCTGTTTGGTAAAGAAAACTCGTGATTTTGGCACAACCCTCCGTATTTCAGTTTTAGCTTAGATGTCCCCCTCATTAGGTTACCTAGCTAAGAATGTGCTATTATTACACATTGCGTATGTAAATAAAATAAACCTTCCTGTCGGGTGGATAGACCCGTATTATGGATGAACTCATCAACTTCATTACCTACCCTGTTATTTTAATGTTTTTTTGAACATGCACATTCAGGGCTTTTTTAAGGCAATTGTTCGGGAGCCCTATATGGAGCGGGGTGGGGGTCATTCTAAGCCTCTCAGTATTGGCCGTGTATTCAGTATTTTTCATCCAAAGCAACAAAACTAAATAGATAAAATATAACAAAAAGAATTCAGTCTTCCCACACACTACCAATTACTGGGTTATTGACTGCAACTGACAAAAACAGTGCAGAAAAAATGAGATACAGCAAGAAATTGGGGGTCGTACTTGAATGAACATTCACTCTCTGGACTTCTCAGTCTTAAAAAGATTCTGCTAGTATTGCTATATGAGTACGTACATTAAAATCGAAATCAAGTTTTTAACAAGGCAGCCTTCAGGATTTGTTGGATTAGGGTTGCAGATGGCTACTATAGACCATGTTCTCCATCCACTTAAGGGAGACTTACAAAAGCAGAAAATGAACCACCAGTACAATTTCAAGAGAGGAAGCCATACCATGTGTGTACTGTAGTGACCTTAGGTCAGTGTTGTCCAAACTTGGCCACTTTAAGATGAGTGGACTTCAACTCCCAGAATTCCCCAG